ACACACACACACCACACACACAAACACACACTGCAAACACACACACCACGCCCCCACACACACTACACACACTGCACACACACAACACAACACACACACAAACACCCCACACACACAACACACACACGCCACACACACACTACACACACACACCAAACATACACACCACATCACACACACACACCACACACACCACACACACCACACACACACCATACACACACCACACACACACCACACACACACACCACACACACACCACACACACCACACACACACATACACACACACACATACACACACACCACAGACATATACCCCCCCCACACACACACCACACACACACTCACACACACACACACACACCACACACAGAGTAACTAGGAGGTAAAGCTGGTTTTATATTACGAAAAGAGTCTCAATCAAGAAAGCCATGTGGCAGCCAGCAAAGCACCCCATTAGCGAGCTCTCTGCATTTTACATCCTCTCCTCTCTTTTGGTGAAGATACATTTTTACCATGGAGCTGAGCAGTTAGCATGGGAAAATGCAGTGGATCATTCCTGAACTTCTTTCACAGAATTAGCCAAAATGAAATAGCATTCCAGAATTTGGTCTTACCAGGTGACAGCACCAGGATGAGAAAACGTACAGTACAGACTAATACATGGAAAACATGTATTAAAAACATAGGTGTACTACTTACTTGAGCACTAGGTACCTAGTTCCTGTGGCTTAACATCACATGGTATATTTCTTGTTCCAATAGAGTCCAGTATGGGAATCCCTGGTCAAGGGTGATGGGCAGAGAACAGAATGGTTGTGATCCATGTAATTATTCAGGAACCCAGGCTGATGGAGATTTGTCATGTTCCAGATGCCTTGTAAGGCTTTCCACGTCATCCTTGATGTTGATATGCAGCCAACAGAGTGAACAAAAGAGAAAGAAAAGTAGGCCAACTTGCTTCCTCACCACTGTGGCCAGAAGGGACACATAACATTTCTGCTCATATGCCACCTGGTGAAGACAGGTCAAGTAGTCTACCAAGTTCAAGTTCAAGAGAGATATGAAATGTAGTCTCTAGCTAGATACTGGGTCTGTACACACATGGTTTACTTTCCAGGTTATCACAGGCAACAGTTACCAAATAGTTCCACAGCTTAACAAACTCTGCTGCTTTCAGCCTGCTCTGTGTTCTTATTGTTGCTGTCATTGTTTTTGCTGTCCAACTACAAATTACACCACATACTTTCCATACTTTACAAAAGCATCCCATTAAAGGTACCAAATTAACACCCACTATTGTCACTTACAACCTCTTAAATTTCAATGAAAATGTAACTCTTCCTCACATCAGTCCCAGGCCGGTAGGTATTCCTGATTGACTTTGGCCCCAGCAGCAGAGAGGATCTGGACACACGATGACAGAGGAACCCAGGCTAACAGAGGCTCTGTCATCTTCTAAATAGAGCTTCCAGGGTGTCCTTGAGTATTGGCATCTAGCTGGTACAGGAGAAGAGAGCAGTTAGAGAGGGACATTTATTTCTTAATCATTTGGGCTCACAAGTGACACACTCACCTCCACTCAAATTCCACTAAGGAGAAATAATTACAAGCGTCCATTTAGATAAATGCAATGGTAGGAGAAATGAAGTCCTCATCTAGGCTGCCGCTGCCACTGCCCAGCAACATCTCTGCACCTGAAAACCACGCTCAAAAGTCTTCACTAGATAGGGGTCTCTGCCACAATGGTAAAATTGTTTTATGTGCATTCTATTTTTAAAAATTAAATCTCAAATTTATGAAGAAACAACTGTATCATTTTTTATAACCTATATGAGAAAAGATCTGAAAAAGAGTTGATATATGTATATGTATAACTGAATCACTTTGCTGTACACCTGAAACTAAAACAACATTGTAAATCAACTATACTCCAATAAACTATTTCTTTAAAAAGAAACAACTGTAAATAGTTAAAGATAATGTCATGGATCAAAATTCTACTGAGAGATGCATCCTGGATTTTTGTTTTGTTTTATTTTATGAAAAAACACTGCTTATAGACAATATTGACTCAAAAGACATTATTCCAAATGTATCTTTGTTGAGAAGATTTACAAACATAGGACTTTGGGAAAAGGACTTAAATAGGATTTGTCCAACTTTTCACTGTACAGGTGAGGACATTGAAGTTCCAGAGAATTGAGGTGACAAGCCAAAAATATAACGTTAGGCAGTGAAAATATATATCATCTTTCATTTCCTTTATATTATATGCCATCAAGGTGGTGACTTGAGGCATTAAAAAGAGAAAGAAACTAGACTTTTGACCTCTTGAATTTTAGGCTTCAGATTTAGAGATGATCAAACAAGGAGCCAGAAAAAAAAGGAATGGCAGGAGGAAAATGTGCTCTGACAGGGCTTCCCTGGTGGCGCAGTGGTTGCGAGTCCGCCTGCCGATGCAGGGGACACGGGTTCGTGCCCCGGTCCGGGAAGATCCCACATGCCGCGGAGTGGCTGGGCCCGTGAGCCATGGCTGCTGAGCCTGCGCGTCCGGAGCCTGTGCTCCGCAACGGGAGAAGCCACAACCGCAAAAAAAAAAAAAGAAAAAAGAATACAGACTTTGATATCTAAGACAGGAATCTGATATCTAAGCTATCTTAGATGGATTGTTCTACCATATTAATATTAATATCTTATGTAAGTTCACTACTTTTGATTCATGTATACTCTATAAAAATACAGAAAGAACAAAAACACTTAATGCATAATTTCATTTATTTATGAATACAGATTAATAAAGGCACAGTTTAAAACAGAAAAAGATATATAGAAAATATTTGATGATATTTTGACAATCAACTATTTTCCATATTCTGAGGCTGTGATTTTCATTCACAGTGAATCCAAATCTCTTGCCTTCATCTTCTGGGTGTCAGGATTTGTCACCCTTCCCATAAACAAAATTGAATCTAGGAAAAGAAAAAAAAACTTTCAGAATTTCTGGAGAAAAAAATGACAATAATATTTCTTAATATTTTAACAAATCATTGTCTTTTTTTCTCTATATGGTAAATAAGCAATGTCTAATAGCAAAACCCACTCCTTTGTCTAAAATAGATAATTATATCATTATTAATCATTTTCTGATAATTTATGAAGTAAATTAACACCCACAACAGCTTGTCATGGAAAATGCATTAGTCCTGTTTTTCATAAAGGAAAGCAAAAATAAAGTGACAGAGAGGTGTTCTTCTAAATATAGAGACTCAGTCAGGCAAACTTAGAATAATAAAATGGTCATGAGCATGGATGTATTTTAAATTTAAGGTATTAGCAGTCATCTCTTTATGCATGTAATATAAACCACTGGGGTTAAAAGTGCAGCTTCTCACATCTCTTCCTTCAGCTCTGAATCAAAGCTTACTGCTAAAGACAATATTTTCACATCTCTAGTGCTTTCAAATCCTCACCGGTGATATAGTATAAAGCATAAATGTAAACACGTAAACATCTATTTCCAGCCATTCTGTGTGTGCAAGTGAAAAGGAACTAAGAACTAGAGGACAAAACAGAAATAAATGTGTTAAAATGCATTCACCTTTCTTTTCAACTAGGGTAAGGGAAGTGGCTCTATGTCAAGCGTTGCCTTGAGTTATGTCCCTTAAAGTCATATGTAATAAAGGTTTATTTCAAAAGTGATAAAATAAAATTTTACATAATTTTAAAGCTTACATGTATTTGAAATAACAATGGCAGAAATGAAATAAAAAGGAAGAACACTTTTTCATTAACTCCTTACTGTTCAGTCCAAAGACAGACACAGTCTTAGAAGAGTCAATAACATGGAAATAGACATAAACTCTAGCAGATTTTTTCTTTTTATGATTATAATTAATAATACTTTGCCTCAAAATTCTCAGAATAATTCCCAAAACACAAGAAAACAAATACTCTATTTTTCAGATAGATAGAGATACATAAATAACTTCCTCAGGATGTATACTACATTTAGCCACAATAGGAATCAGTAGTAACTCTTGTGTCTTTATAATTCTATGGCATTAAAATGCTTATCAGAATTGCTTGCTTGGGGAATTTTTCGAGTAACTTTCATAGCAACTAACCTCATACATTGAAGTTAATAGTTTAAAGTTTTAAACACTGAGAAGTGTAGGACATTACATAAAAGCCATTTGTCCCAGCCTTTTTAATTTGTTTTTTTGACCAAGAGAACCACATTTTGAGTAGAGTCTTCATGCAATCACCAATCTACTCAGTACTAAATTGGACAGATTAGTGAAATCTTCCTTGACATAGTCACAGTGGACTCACAGGCAGGCTGAAGCAGAAATCATTGTTGTTTCCACATTTCTTTTCATGCCCACTTCTTAAAAAGTGTCCCTCATATTTAATCAATATAGTTATAAAACATCTCCATCAGATGGAAGCAGTTTTTACTTCATAATATAAAAATACAATAGCATAACCAAAGCTAATGACCTAGATAAAAAGATTTCTTAGTGAATACCCTGCAGTCTGCTTCTCCCTTCAACCCACGACCTGAAAAATTTATAAACACAACATTTTTTTATTATGTATGGAGTACTGTCAGTTTCAAAACCATGATTCACTACTTTCTGAGAAATGGCACATTTCATGTAGCATCTTTGACAATTTTCTTCTGAAAGTCTCTAACGCTGGCCTATACCCGCAGCCTAAAAGAAGAAAAATTGTTCTTCATTTCCCTAGAAGTTTGGCTTGGTAAGAGGTTTGGATGAATATACTGAAATATATATGATAGGAAGTCAAATACTGATAGGAAAATACAAGTAATGTATGGATTTTGCATAAGAGGATTGTTTGACCAAAACAAAATTTAAAATTGAGGTAAAAATTGGTTGTACTAAATCTAAACTTATTCACCCTCATACTCCAGAAATTGTCAAATGAATATATTTTATATAAATCATTAAGCCATTTAGTAGTTTACTACACCATGCTAAATCACCAGCTTCGTTAATCCCAATGATTTCTTCAGTTCATTTGTGAGACGAAAAATAAATAAATCACTGAATGTGTATTGTCTTAAGGTAATAACCCATTCTACATTTTATATGGCAACAATTTACAGCCTCCAATAAATGAGTGACTATTCATTTTAAACAATACTTTAAGGGAGTAACCCTAGTTTAGAAAGTCTCATTACAATAGAGATCATAAAACAGTGGAAATAGCCATTAAGGGTCTGATAGTTAATTATTATCATAAATAAATAAATAAGTGAATAATTTTGGGTTTTGAATTTTCACTGCTGTTTAACTGATAGCTATTACATGTCCATAGTCATCAACTTGGAAAATAAAGAGTAAAACATCATTATGCTAAACACCATTATTTCCCAGTGTATTAATGCCCAATGAGCTTCATTTCTTTCTGTTCTCCATACTCAGTAGTTACACACTGATGGCAAGAAGTTAGAGTTACCCTAAGGTTAAAGATGTATAGATCAAATGACATACTCAGAATATCTCTTAACACTGACGTCCACTACTAGAATTGAAGTTGTGTTAATACAATCTCAGCAAATCTGAAACTGTCCCATTGTTTCCAAGATATAACTTTCAGAAAGGTCATTCAGCATTAGTTTCATGGAACTTAAAAAAAGTGACTGATATATCCCTTAGGGAACCAATAATATCAGTATTGCTAGTTAATCTAACAGATTCAGATTCTGAAATTAACTCTGTCTCTTCTCCACGTAAGACAATTTATATAGAGAAAATTTCCATTTTTCTTCCTTCATTTATTCAGTCGTTCACTCATTTACATTTATTGATGTATTCACAATGAACACTATGTGCCAGGCAGTGTCACAGGTTTCATATATTCTTTTATTTAACTCTATAAGTACTAATATTATGTTCAAATAGGAGGTGGGGAAAATAAGGTTTAGAAAGTATGTGACTTGTCTTACAACTATTAGTTCATTAAGCTGGGACTTGAACCCCAAGTCCAAACCTTCAATCTCTAGGGGCACTGATATTAAGTGCAAGGCACTTTGCCAAATACTGGGCTGGATAAAGAAATGAATAAGATATCACCTATTTTCCCCTGGTTTAGGGTCCTCACATGGGGTTATGACTCCTGAGAAGTCCTAAATGTACACTTAAAGAAAGTTTCCTCACTGTGTCCACATTTCTGGCCTCTCTTTCTCATAAGAGAAATTGCGAAAACATCTACTCGGACAATCTACATTTACGTTGCCATCGTGTCTAACGCCAGTCCAATCGACTACTACCCCTACCTTTTGTGCCCCTACCTTTTGTGTATTATCTTTCACAATTGCCCAGATTGCAGATTTGGAATAATATTTGACTCCTCCATCCCACTCAGAGCCTATAGCTAGTCACTTATTCTTTTAGAATCTACCTAGGAAACCTTTCACAACCGTGCAACTTCCAATTTCCACTCCCACAGTGGCATCATTGAAAGAAAAGTTGACTTCTGAAACAAAAATGTCTTATTCTCACTATGCCACTTTTCAGTTGTATGACCTTAGACAAACTACACAACCTCTCTCTGAGCATCTATGTCTTTATTCATCAAATATCTAATGGAATGGTGTTAGCTGTCGAGATTGGTATTTAAAATCACCAGCACATATAGTAACTATCTCGGCAGCTATCACTACTATTGCTCTATTTTAGGTAACTGTCATCTCTTAACACACAATGCCTGGTACAGAACAAGCACTCAAGAAATAGACACTAAAAAAATTTTGAAAAAAATTAAATTCAATAAATTTAAATGACAAATGATCTCAGATGTATAGACTGAGATTAGCATCTAGGACTAAGTCTGTTTAACTTAAGCAGTTCCTCCAGGGAAGTCTCAAAAAGGTACCTGTTGGGTTATTCTTCATAATAAACAGAAACGGATGGTTTGCTATAAATTGGTTTCGAGGCAGACTCATGATCACAGGGATGTGTATGCCTATGAAATAGAGACAACAGTTATTTAGATGTACACATTAAAAGATCAGTAAAGAAAATATATCCATAATATCCATACTGTTTTTTGGAGACAGAAAAGGTCATTTTGTTTGAGAAATTAACATGTGGAAAAATAACCATTTTCTAAATACAAAGAAATTTGGAATAAATGTAAAGATCAAAGATCAGAAGAATAAATATTGGATTACTCATTGAATAATTCTAACTTCACATTTATGCTCAATGAAGAAGAAAACCAAAACTTGTTTCAGTTTAGTGAAAGCAGTTGAAAATTTCATCTGTTAAGCAGTAACTTTCTGCTCACTTTTTATTTGCGTTATATGATTTATCTCATAATTTTTCAACTCCTAATTCCTATCCAGGTATGTTTGTACTTTATTTCTATTCTCCAGGCTTGTAGTAATCACATCTGACTTCAAATTTATTTTTTTTAACTTTTCCAAAATTATTCTGTGAGCTCAGAACTTTTAGGATTTGTGCTGTGAATGTGTATGGTATTTTTATTATGATATTAGAAGTTTGCTGCCTTGACAATTATTTACTATAATAATTTGTATCATGCTTCTCCATTGTGGCATTTATCAATATTTCAGAGTGGATAAATTTAAATGGCTGGATTCTTTTTCTTTCTAGATTAAGTATTTCTGCACTCAATTCAGATGTTTTATTTACCAGTAATGTAATAATTTTGTATAATTTTTTCAGACCTATGAAAACAGTTTTTAAAATGCAATACGTGATCACAATTGAAAAACAAATGTAGAGAAGGAAAAAACTATCCCTCTACGCTTTTTGTTTGTAACTGGGGTGTGCAAATTACACTGACAAAAGACAGATTAACAAAATCAATGGTTTTATTTTGTATCCACACAGGAGCTTCACAGAAAAGAAGTGAATACCCAAAGAAGGGGTTATATCATTTTAACAAAAAGTGGTAAATTGTGGAGAAGTGACTACACAAAGGAAAAGGGGTTTGAGTGTCTAGGGGTGGTAAACTGTGGGAAGGTAAATGTATGGGGAAAATTAATGGTATATAAGGATTATTTAATAAGGTTTTCTTCTGCAGACTCATATCAGTGCCCACTTTCATCTCCTATGCCAAAGGTTCCTTCTCTTGGCATGGAAGACAAGAAGGGAGATACCTCCACAAGGGAAATCTATGCCCTGATTTTAGACATGTAGGAGGAGGGTAGAGAGCTCTTTTTGTATCTGCTGTTTCTCAACTGCCTTCAGCTCAAAATAACTCTTCTGCAAAAATGGCATATTTGAGGGTGGTATATTCTGATCCCCTGCACAATCCAAAATAACCTTAGTAATAATAAATGCATGGCATTCTTCTACCTGAAATAACAGGGCTATGGTAACCAAATTACCAGTGAATATAGACTCATGTCTGAATTAATGAGATAATACAGAAAAGCATAGTCAGGATCACGCCCATTCTCATTTGGGTGAATACTTGAGTTCTTTTGTTCCTGAGTATCCATTGAGTAGATGCCTGAAAGTCAAAATACTCACACTAACTATTTAGGTGTGATACATCAGGGTCACTGCTGATCCCTTAATGATGGTTACATCCTCTTAGAGAGTTCTACACTTAAGACAAGAGGCATCAGGTGATAGCAGAAAGAGTTCTGAACTTGAAGTCAGGGAACCTGATTTCAGTCCAAACCCTACTGTCTATTATTAGCATGACCTTAGGCAGACCACGTCACACGTGTGCCTGTTTCTTCACCGACATAATGAGAGGTTCAGACAATGGTCTATAAGGACTCTTCCAATTCTGTGTAAAAGCAAGTGGAAAATTTGTCTACGTGAACTAGCAACTTCATCCCAAAGCCACCTTCGATTTCTCCAAGGATTGTAATAGCTCATCCCCTCCAATCTAAGTTCCTTGAGCACAGTAATGCAAAGTCCTTCAGGAGATGACAAAACAGTAGTGGGAGTCCAGTGTGCCCCACCCAGATGCCAAAATCCATCGCCATTACATAGCATTATAAATTAATCAAGAAATTAATAATGTGGATATAAATTTATCAATATGACTATTTAAAGGATGCATATCTTTTGCATACAGGTTAAAGTCATGGTCTGAAGAATTAAAATAGACTTATGAGGAATTCATTAAAGTTCCCCTTCCATTTCTAATTGAATGTAAGGCTTTTCTCCAATTATTTTTTGAGTATTACTTTTGCGTAGCACAGATACTATTCAAAATGTTCAAGGAAATATATCATTTGTTCAAGGAAATATATCATACAAGTGGTTCTCAAGCTGTAATATGCACACAAGTCACCAAGAGACCTCGGAAAATGCTGATGCTGGATTAGTAGGTCTGGAGTTGAGCCTGAGGTTCTGCATTTCTAACTAGTTCCCAAGGGGCACTGATGCTGCTGGTCTATGCATTACACTCGCAGTTGCAAGGATAGGCTCCAAGTCACTGGAGAGCAGTGTTTCTCAACCTGGGATTCACATTGTTATCACTTAGGGAAAGGTAAGAAAATACTGAAGGCTGAATCTCATCCGCAGAGATACCGATCTAATTATTTTGGGGTGCGTTCTGGGCACAGAATTTTTAAAAGCTTTTCAGCTGACTCTAATGTGCAGCTAAGTTCGAGAGCCATTGCCATAGAGATAACAAGAGTCACATTAGAAAAGTAGGGACTAAGAGTGCAAAGGAAGAATGAAATTAATACAATTTCTTACGAGTGAACATTCCTGAGCAATCATGATTTCAGGTTTGAGCCTACAGTTTTCTCCACGGGTCCTATCTGCTAATGGGCAGGTAATCCAATTGACAAATAAGTAGATATCAGTAGATGAGCCTCAACTCGTAATCAAGTCCCTTCCCTTTCCTTTTGCCTTAAGCTCCAGCCGCAAAGATGCAGAAATAGCTTCTATAGCCATTTTTCCCTTCCTTCAGTGTACTGGACAGCAGGAGGAGAAAAGCAGATCAGAGGACCACAAAGTGGCAGCATCCTCACGCTCATTTCCTCCAGTCCTTCCTCATGGCTTGCTGTGACATCATTTGTCCTACCGGTTGATGTTGCAGCTTCACTGCCATCTTCGTTTATCTCAAAGAAAACTTGTTGCATGACTTGGGAAACATACACCTCAGAGGAATCTGTAGGAAAATATGAAAGTGCATTGAAGGGTTAAAACTCAGGGCTATTACTTATTGGATCCCACGTGAATTACATTTTCAAATGAACAAAGAAAAGGAAAAAATTCCAAACTCTTTCCAAGTTAGTTAATTTGCTAGAGATAAATGTGGTTTAGGTTTAGCTCTTGCAGAGATGATGTAGAGAAGATATGGAGAGACCAAGTTTAGCTCAGATATAAAAGATAAAGATAGAAGGCGATAAGCCTCAAATCGGATACCCCACTAAGTGAAATATTTGAATGGACAAAGGGTTTTGCCTGCCTTAGTCATGATCTACAGGCAAGATGAAAAAGGCTTTACAGATTTGAATTAATCCCACCCTATGTCTTCGACCTCAAAGCCAACTTGCCTTTTAAATTCCATATTGGGTTTTGATCTGAGTTTAGAACAAAATTTACTTTCCTTCAAGACTGATGAGGCGATAAAAGTCTAAAGAGCTTTTGTGTCATCTGTTACAAAATAGCTTCAGAGCTATGCTTTAAAACCTGTCAAATTTCTAGTGTAACATAGCGTCTTAATAACGTTTTGTTCTGCAGTGGAAACAAGCTGAGAGAGAAGGCCCCTCTCCTCCCCTTGGTGGAACTGATGTATGTGTGAAGCGTTTCTGGTATAGTGACCTGTGAAGAGTCTCCTTGAGAAGGGGGAGTGAAACCATGAGTTCAGAAGCCACCTGCCACCCCCCTGTGTCCAGACCAGATAGATCTGATAGTGTTCCTCAGAGAGACAACGGAAAGGTGGTCGTGAGTTCAGTGGTGGCGAAAGGGTGAGGAAAGGAAGCGAGCCTTGAAACTTGAAGAGAAAGGAGCTTTGTCCCTCATGAGAGAGAAAGCTGATGTGATGCAGGTGGACTCCACCAAGACGACCGAATTTAGAAGGATTCATGAAGAAATAATTTAGTCAAGGGGAACCAGCTCTGACAGCTTACAGAAAAGTAAATCCCCTCAGGCAAATAGAGAGACGTCATCAAAGGGTTATTTGCATAAAAAATGGCTTCCTAAAAATAACTCCAAACTGCTTGTAATGACTGTCTGGGCCCCTGATTACCTCTCATCCTCATCTACTACCCTCCTCTCCGGGTCCAGTAGCTCCAGCTACAAGGTCAAGCATCAAGACTTTAGCCCCACCTCTCCGTCTGCTTAAAATCCCTTTTCCCAGAACTTTCCCTGATTGGCTCCCTTGTTACTTAGGTCTCAGCAAAATGACACTTCCTCAAAACAATTGTTCCTTCTCACCATGTCTAATTCTGCTCTTATCTGATCTAAATCTCTTTATCCCATGACTCTATTTTAGTTAATCCATAGCATCTATCACCTCACCATTTAATTAATTAATTACTTGTTAATTGTCCATCTGCCCTAACAGATGTAAACTTCATTAGAAGAGGGAATGTGTAGATTTTATTCAACTCTAGAAAACTGCCTGGCACATAGTTGGCTTTCAATAAATACTTACCAGATAAATCAATCAATGGATAAGGCTACGTCTAGTGATAGAAACATGTAAGATGGAGAAAAGGGGGCATCCACGTCATTAGTGTGGGTTAACTAAAATGCAGGAGTGTGGTTTTTTAAGGCCATGCAAATAAGCATGTTCTTTTCCCACAACTGCCTGGAATAAGATGGGATTCACATATAGAGCACAGAGTAGATGACCAAGGGGCTCATGCAAAGAATGAAGACCGAAAAGCAGGTTGGAGTGGAGTGGAGAATTTCACGCATGCGGTTTAGCACTGGCACCAGACCAAGTGACTCCCTGGCCATTAGGCTGAGCAATTTGGTCTTCTGTATTCCATATTACAAAGAGGGGGCCCGGTCTTGGAGAAAGAACAGGGCTTGGGAGATGATAGATTAGAACAAGGGATCTGAACTTCATAAACTCACTGATCTTTGCAATAATTCTTTCCCTTAATTTCCTATGAAAATTCCAAGTATGTCTTTGTCAAGCTAAGAGGACAAGAAACTTTCAATAGCTTTGCTAGAAGATGTGCAAGTAAATATTAATGTGCCATTTACTCACTTTTTTTTTGTATTTAACATTTACTGAGTGTCCACTATATAATAGATGTTGAACAAGGTGATTTACATATATTCTTTTTTTCCACCACTAGGATATATTATCTCATTTAATAGATTAGAAAGTTGAAGTTCAGAAAGGTTAAATATTTTACCAAAGGTGACACAAGAAGTAATAATAGTTAGAAGTCAAATATTCATCGTAAAGTTTCCAAAATAACTCTTTTGAAAACATTTCATTCAAAACTTGTGAATGACATGAGTATAAGATAGTGTCTCTTTTGTGTAACTATCACACAGCACTAGCATTGGACTGGTTCACAGTAGCCTTTAGCAAATGTTTATCGTCTACTTATAAATTGTAAGTAGGGATGGCAGGGAATTAATTCACTATTCTGCTGAAGACCAGAAATAGTGCCAGTCTTGACTGTGGTTGTTCTATTTCAGGCAGTAAGACAGAACCAAAGAATCAAAGTAGTTAAAACAACTCAAATAGGCAACTCAGAGCAAAATATGTTGGACATTTATTCTTTTCTGTTCAGGGTTATTCTCTTGCACAAATTCTTTTATAAAGCATTTTAGAGGTATTTTCTTGATAAATCTTCTTGTAAAAGGAGATTTTATAGAAGTCACAAATTGCTGGGAATTTAAAGAGTGAGTGGCTGTTTGAAAGTCTGAGATATAGCAAGTGAGCTTCCAAAGGCCAGAAAGAAAGCTAAGAGGAAGAGGTATTTTAAAAATGGCTTGGTTTATTTCAAGTTGGTGAGGTGTCTGCATTCCAAGACACACTTAGATAGCATCCTGTTGCAGTATTTAATTTTGACTGTCTCATTCCTGATGCTGATGAAATTGTCAGAGAAGTCAGATCTATCTGGCAGCGTGAGAACAGCAGCTAAATCATGCGTGAAGGTGACAACGAACAGCTATGTCACTTGTGTACCCCACCCACCTCCTCCGCCAGGAAAATTCATTCATTCTATTCATTTACTCACATAATTGATGAGTGCATAAATTAATGAATACTTCTCCAAAGCCCAAATGTTATATAGGAATACACAATAAAGCTGGGTTATGATATCCAACCCCATCAGACAGACAAGCCTGTATCATTAGGACTGTTGTGTGTTTTTTTTTAAATATATAAATCAGAAGACTGAATTTAAAAAAGGGTAGATAACTTAGGACAAATTGGCCCTCTTCATCCATTTTTTTTCTCTTTTGTTATTTTTGAACTAGTGGGTACTGCCAGGATGAGAAAAATTAAAGACCGTCTTAGGCTTTGTTGTGTAAGTAAGTGTCTTAACTGTACACAATTTCCCAGGTGCCAGTTAGCATAAAAGCTCCCTCTCCTCAGATATGTTGTCAGTCTCAAGCTAAGTCTACAAACGGCAGCATTACAATTTCTAGATTGTGTTCATCATCCAGCAGCTTGTGGATGTCTATTTCATGGCCTCTAATATTACTGAATTAACATTTGCTAATTGGTTTATAAAAGTTTTATTAGCTCTGCTTAGATGAGAGCCTCAAAGTTGTAATTCCCATTATGCAGATAAGGAAATCCAAACAGGGCTGGAATAAAAGCCCATATAATACTTTTCCTACACAGTCTCACTGTAAGCGTGGTTAGAAGTTATCTAACATTCTATAATGCTGTCTGACTTTCATTAAGCAAAACTACTTAAGTGCAAAATAGAGTGCTTGTTTACAGACAGCTTGACATGACTATGACATTTATTCTCTGTGCATGTATCTTCTGGGGCCAAATGCTCTCTCAGTTTTAAGATCAGTCAGTTAACATCATTACTAAGAAAACATATTTACATGATAATATAAGAATAATCTTCCATATTACCTGTTATTCCAGACAGGTCACAGCCAGCACTAAATATCTCAGTTATATTCAATGAATACAAAGCTTCTTTGAAGTCTAATTTTTGTTCTACTTTAAATCTGTTTTAAAAAATGAAGAGGAAAATTTTTGAAACACTGTACACATTTTCTACCAAAATGATTTTTATAAAATGGATGACTTGGAAGAGATTTTATTGTGAAATATTTTGTTTTCATTATCCCAGTTACGTTTCCTCACTTTTCACACCATTTTTCCCCAGCTCCACTGAGCCGTTCTGAGTTGCTAATAACTTGTTTCCCAGATAAATGGTTGGCTGGGAAGGGAGAAGCAAATACTCTATTTTTTGAAGTAACACCTAACAAAACGGTGAATTCTAGCTAAGTTTTCAATTATTTGCTTCTTCGCTAGAAATGTAAAGCTTCCCTCCAGCAACTATACACACTCAGATTTTTCACATCATCAAAGATGGTTCCTGGCAGGCATCCAAGAGACTATGAGCCGGAAACAGAAGCCAACGGTCCTTAAAGAAGATTGTTGGCTACTGAGGTACAGAGAGGGGGCATTAGTAACCTATGAGCCTTCCCATCCATTGTCACAGTTGATGTGACTTCCTTCAGTTTACAGACACACCTAACATCTTTCCCCAAAGCCCTGTATTTTACAGGTAAAAGATTGAAAGGGAACTAAATTCCTTTCCAATAAAGTAAAAATTATAGGGAAAAAAAAAAGCTGGCCAACACTTCTAATTCAGGGCCCTAAGTTAGGACTCCAGATTCTACGCAAGTCTCCAAGCCTCCATTTGCCTGAAGAGGGAGCTTCACCAAAGAATCTCAAAGATTCTCTCAGGTACTGATCTTCTTTGATTCCAAGTCAACAGCAATCAGTGACCCTCGCTTTCCTATTTCAATAATAAGGGGGGCGGGGGGGGGGCGGAAAGAAGCTAGTACTTACTGGCTTTAGAGATGCTAAAAGAATCCATTTACATTTTACAACCAGGTTGGAGAATTTGTTTCTGAAAGTAAAGAGTCTAAAGTCCTCCAACAGGGGGCTACGTATATTTCCTGCCTCAGGGAAATCCCAGGACAGCTCCTGCCCAAGGAGCTCTGTCTGTGCCCTAGCTGGGCCTTTGCCCGTGTGCTCTCTGGTTTGGATGCAGACACGATTGCCCAAGCACAGGATCCTTGCTTAGCTAACAGGTAGGCCCACATCTGGGGCTAGAAATTAGCTTGTGCAATCAGTCTAATTAGATCATTGTTTTAATTGCCAAATACTGAACAAGCTTCTTAATTATAGTTCTTCCAAACAAGGAACATGCTGTGGCAATAATTTACTGGCCCTAAATTATTTCTTGGTAAAATATTATGCCCTTTTAGAAGATGTTTATTCATTCAGAACCCTAGCTAACTGGAGATGGGCACAACTCAACATGCACATTAAAACCTACTGATAATGAAAATAACTTGTTTTATGCCAATCATTTTCAACTTCTTCCTTTTAACTTCCTGCTAAGAAAGATAATATGCAGCATGATGGCTTTGAGGCTTTGGGGTTGTTCTTTTTTTCTATTTTCATTACCACACTTTTTTTTTATACTGAATGGAGTATGGGCTTCTAAAAGGTTGAGGAACAATGCTCTAGTCCACCCATAATTTGGCTATTTTTAGTATAATAGTGCAATGATTTTGGATTAATGACAAGAATACTGCAAGACTTATTACAACCTCTAATAAGGTCTAATCATACCAGAGAGTCACTTAAGTAACAGTCTTTCTCATAACATAGTCCAATGAAACCTACAGTGATAGAAACCCATTCAACCATTTAATAAAAGTATAATCTATGGCCGATTTCTAATTAGCCATAATTATTGGAGCCATGAATAGCCAGGTGTGAAGTATGCAGGTCCCTTCCCAGTCAGAGCTAATGTGCTAACTTCCACTGCCTTCTAATCTAAATATAATCCAAAATCGTAATCTCGATCAATACAATATGTGTAGTGTTAATTGTGTCCCTCTTCCAAATTTTGTGGATCTTAATATTTATTCTAGATGTGGTTCATTTCCTCTTTTCCTTGACTCTCCTCTAAAATTGTCAAAAAAAAAAATACAGCTAAAGGTAAAAGAATGAGTAGCAAAAGGACTGGATAGACAATGACCAACCAATGATGAAATGAATGTTTTAGCATCTGTAAACATTATCTGCCTCCTTAAAAGGCAGCAATTTACTGCCACAGGCTACCATTGTGCTTAAAGGGGTCTCACACAGGTTAAAGCTGCAGAAAACGAAGGAACACAATTCCGAATTTCTTTTTTTTTTTTTTTTTTTTTTTTTTTTTTTGCGGTACGCCGGCCTCTCACTGTTGTGGCCTCTCCCGTTGCGAAGCAACAGGCTCCGGACGCGCAGGCTCAGCGGCCATGGCTCACGGGCCCAGCAGGGGGCACGAACTCATGTCCCCTGCATCGGCAGGCAGACTCTCTACCACTGCGCCACCAGGGAAGCCCCAGTTCAGAATTTCTGTTTGAAGAAGGAGTCACTCCTGGTCTGCAGGCCCTACTGTGGATTGGTGTTGTCCCTTTCTTCTTTATACCCAGGACTCTTGTTTAATGACAAAATGTCTTCAACTGATTTCCCTCAAGGTTCCTGTCCTTATTGTTTGGAATTCCACTTTTGATACAGTGGGCTTGAGTCATCTTTGGAGGGTTCAGGCTTAGAAACAACCAAGTCTTAGGGCTGCCCACAAGGATAAAAATATAACACAATCCTTGACAGTGGTGGGCTTGGACTATTATGTGAGTACATAGTAGTTTCTGGTCACTTGTGTGTGTGTGTGTGTGTGTGTGTGTGTGTGTGTCTGTGTGTGTGTGTATGTGTGAAATATTCCATTGGCCTCAAGGGCTGAATTAAAAATGCTTTCTGTCACATAGGAAACATATCTGGACAATGCTTAATGTAAACTTGGATTCCAATTTGTATCAGTGTTTGATAGGCTAAAGTGAAAGAACATTTAGAATCATCATTGCAGCTGGTCATGACTTATCTATTCTCACACCCAGCCTCATTTTCCCTGAGGTCACTTTCTCTCACCCACACACAGTTCACATTCACACACTTAGAGATCCAAAGCTGTTTGTTTAGGATTGACGTATATACACTACTATGCATGAAGTAGTTGGCTGGTGAGTGCCTACTGTATAGCACAGGGGGAAAAAAAAAGGTACAATCTGTTTGCAGGACATATATTAAGTTAACCTGAAAAATGCATTCAAATATACATTAGGTGCAGACAAATACTGTTTGATTCCACTTATTTGAGGTACCTAGAATAGTCAAATTCATAGAGTCAGAAAGTACACTGGTTGATGCCAGGGGGCGGGGTGGGGGGGCAGGGGAGAGGGGGAGTGGGGAGTTAGTGTTTAAAGGGGACAGAGTTTCAGTTTAGGAAGGTGAAAAATTTGGGAGATGGATGATGGTGAGAGTTGCACAACAATGTGAATGTACTTAGTGCCACTGAACTGTGCAGTTAGATATGGTTAAAATAGTATGTTTTATATTGTGTGACTTTTACCACAATAAAAAAAAATTTAAAAATAAAATAAAATAAAAGAGTAGTATTTTGAAATACAAATAGTTACAGCAGCTAATAATCGTAATTAGCTACCATTACTGACTGCTTGGAACTATACTAAGCTTTTTACATATATTATATCATTTAATCCTTTAAATGACTTTATGAGGTACAGAGTAGTATTATCGATTTGCAGATGTGGAAGCTGAGGGTGTGAAAATTTAAGTAACTTTCCCAAGGCTAAATAGTTGCTCAGAGGTGGAGCTGGGATTTAAATCCAGAACTGTCAGACTCTAAGATCATGTTCTTCACCACTGTACATACCCCTTCTGAGTGTGTCTCAATAATTGTGCAAAATAGCACTCACAGTCAGTAGAGAACTTCCCAGAGATGCTTCCTTGTAGGAGCAAATGGCTTTGCTCAGTGGGATCTACCAACTTGCTAATTACATTGCATACAACATCCTGAGGTTAAGCAGGGGTACTGATCAAAGAACAGAACAAAGCCCGCCAAAGACAAAGGCCACTGAGCTAACCAACCACCAATTCCCAAGGGAATCCTGACTTCTTATTCAGTCCCACCCCCCTGCCTAGAAATGAGCTGGTCTCTGGGGGAATCTCTTAGAACTAGATTTCCTGGGATTATTCCAAACATCCTAAACACTTCTCTCTTCCCTTTCGGTTGTTGAGGTCGGATAGCATCGGCTAATCCAGTGCTAGAACCTCTAAATCACATGGGATAGTGCAGGAGAGAGACATCAGGTAGACATCAGACCCACCCCTCACCACCACCACACACAGACAGGGCCATGTTCTGAGTCTGTGGATGAAGAATTGCACCCAGAAAATGGCAATGGGGCCCCCTAGGACTTTGCACAATCTTTAGATTGCATTATTTGGTCAAGTGAACCCAGTACCTTAGTAGGTTTACATTTTCTACACCTCAGCAGCTATCTAGAAAAGCAAGCTCCTAACTCATTCTCATGTATTATCTTTTCTATTTGGCAGGCAAGCAGGGAGGAGAAAGAAATAGAAAATATAGAAAAGGAAAAACAAAATGTTCATAATGCCATAACCCTATTACAACTAATGTTAACATTTTGGTAAATTTCCTTTGTTTCTTTCTGTAGATTTGTTTCTTTACATAGCTGTAATCATTGTAAAAATTTTTTAATCCAGTTTTTTTTCTATTAAAATATACCATAATTTTTTCTCATTATCACAGCCTCCATACCTATCATTGTTATTGGCTAGGTTACATTCTACCACACTTTTCTTAAAATTCGTTTACTGTTGAACTTTTACATTATTTCTGTATTTTTTCAAAATAAACAATGTTGTGATAACATTGTTTGGAATTTGTTTGGAAAAGGTGGTACAACTACCAACTAATGTTTCTGCTTCCATATAACTGAAGATTCGATTTCACCTTTTAAGGCAAGTTCTTCATTTGTTTGGGAAAAGCAACGTAGTGAGCTTTTTTAATGCAAATAGAACCCCTGGGATGGAGATGGAGAAGTTTGAGATGATGAGAGTGGAATCTATTCTACCCCATATGAAGACGCTGTTTTCAGTAAGGGTTGAAATCTACTGTTATAGATTCCTATTACAACTAGGAATCTGGCCTTAGAGGGGATGGAAGAAAATCTGTGTTACCTTCATTTTATGCTAGGAAAAGTTGGAGGACTCTGGATGCTGGGTAGGATGGAGATGGGAAAGACACCCCTTTTGGGTGAGTGGGCCCTGGCACCATGACAATGGCAGGCTAAGGATAATAATGGACAGGGGAAGACTCCCTGGTACAAGAAATGACCTACATTCCAGGAATACTCATCCCTGAAACCTGGTTTTAAATTTCTTTGTAAGCCCTTTTTATTATTAGATTTCAGTAAAGTTTGGTTAAACATTGAAGTTGCTCTTACGTGTAGTAGCTTGCCATGGGCTACCTTAACAAATTACCACAAACTATATGGCTTAAATAACAGAAATGTATTGTCTCACAGTTCTGGAGTTTAGAAATCCAAAATCAAGGTGTCTGCAGCATTGGTTCCCTCTGAGAGCTGTGAGGGAAAGATCTGTTCCAGGCCTCTCACCTTGGTTTGTAGATGGCCATCTTCTCCCTATGTCTCTTCACATCATCTTCCCTCCCTGTGTATCTTTGTATCCAAATTCCTCCTTTATATAAGGACTCCATCCATACTGGATTAGGGCCACTCTAATGACTTCTCTTTAATTTGATTACCTCTACAAAGACTCTATCTCCAAATAAGGCCACATCCTGAGGTAGTGGGAGTTAGCATTTCAACATACGAATTTGCAGAGCTCATAATTCAACACATAACAGTTGTTCCTGGGCAAATTAAAAGCAAATTCTGTGTCCACACTATGGGAGAAGTTGTATGAGAAGTGTGGCTACAGTTTGGAGTGGCTGATAACAGGGCCAAGCAGTTTGGAAAAGCTGTCCAGACTACAGTAGTCTAGGCAGATTTGTGGACTGTGAACCATTCCTGTTGGGATTCCTAAAATGTTGGAGAAGGGAATTCTGAAAAAAGCCTGTATTTCCTATTGTCAATTCAGTTTGGAACTTATACATTATTATCTAGGCATTTGTTACCTAGGCTAATGAAGATGAAGATACCTTAGTTATAGGTACCATTATCCCCATTTTGTACTAATAAAACCACAACTCAGGACATTAAGTGACTCTCCTAAGACCCCACTACTAGTACATAGCACAGACAGTTCTCAAACTCAGGGGTATTTTTGTGTGTGACCCCAAATATTAATCTTTCCAAAGGGAAAAGAGAGAGAGACGTAAATTTGAAAGTAACCAATTCCAAAAATGATTATTTCTATGATCAATAGGTAATTATATTATCCCTGGTGTTTGGCACATAGTAGGAGCTAAAAGAAATACTATTATATCCCTGGTGTTTGGCACATAGTAGGAGCTAAAAGAAATACTCTTTGAAAGACTGAATAACATCCAAGTAGAGATTTACAGATGGTAGAGAACTGGAAGAGAGATTGGAAAGAGAGAGTCGATATTAGAGACATGAATAGTAAGGAACAAATAAAAGAGAGAAGAAGAGGAAATTTCTGAAAATGAAAGTCTGATAAATATTATCTGGGGACAGAAGGAAAAAAGGTATAAGTCAGGGAGAGGAAAATTTCACAGAAAGAGAGAAAAATAAATAGAAGTAAGTAATGCCATAGGGGTTAAAGAAAGAAGGGTTTTCAAGAAAAAGGGGATGGTAAAAAATATTTGGATCCAGAGCCCAGAGTTAGGGTGAGGGAATCATAGGATACCTCTTTCTCCAGGATATCAAGGAAGACAGAGGAAGAGAAGTTTAGCAAAAATGTACACAATTTTTGACGCGAAGGGTAGAGAGGTGAGTTTGCACGCTAATATGTTTTCTTTAAGGAACAGGTAGTTGAGACATACATTGAGAGTAAGAGAATGAACATGAAGCAGTGCCTGGAGAGCAGAGGTAAAGTCTTGGTGAGGTGTTAGAAGAGAAAGTTCTCTGAAGAGAAAGACTACTAAGCTCCAGCCTCAGGGAGACCAGAGTGACTGATTTGGAGAGTTTTGCTTAACAAAATCAGTAGTTGGGAAGCAGGAGTACCTTGCTGAGGAGAGAACTACAGAAGGACAAAGACAAGGTGACAGAAATATTTAAAACGTTTGGTGAGAGTACAGTTGAAATAACTGGCTGAATCCCGGGTAAGTGGGAAAGTAAGGAAAAGTCAAGACGGTGGAGAGGTGGAGGGCCAGGAAGGCCTTGATGAGTGTTTGAAGAAAAGTTTAGAAATGAAGGGACAGAAAATAATCTATGAGACATATGTCTCTTTTTAGAAGTTCAGGTAGAGTGTGATTTATTTGGGCACCCCTTACTCTCTGAAGTTTCTCTTGTCTCCAGGAACCAGGATATCAAAAAATTAGTGTTTATAATTATGGCTTCCTGAGATACACCTTTGTGATTTCCATTTTGTATAAACTATCTGAAATGACCCCAATATTTCATAATAGCTATAAATGGAAAGTAACTTTTAAAATTGTGTAAAAATAAAAAAATTTAAAATATGTATATAAATATATATACCCCAATAATAAAAAATGACCCTAGGATTTATATTTTATATTTTAATGACTCTTACAGCACTATCTGTCAAAGGCAGTTTTACATATCTTTTAATTGTAGAGTATCGCAAGAGTCTTGGGGATTATATTTTCCTTAAACACAATAGAAGACAAAATATTTTAAATTCCAATCAGGAAAAACAAGTTAGAGAAAGATAAGTTTGTATAATAAAAAGAATAATAATTCCCTTTAATCCCAGCATTCTGTTTTGAAGACTTAGATTTCTTCATCTCTTTCAGAGAATACTGAGTACTTAAATTCCATCCTTGTCATGGCAAAGCAATGCTGGCAATGTTCAACCTGCCTTTGTAACCATAGAGTAGAGTAACAACTCCAAACGGGTTTTTTTCTTTTTATGTTTGTCAATAGACTTTTTGAGCATTGGCTATCTTTCAGCCGGCTATTCAAGTCCCTCTATAAGTGAAAACATAAGAAAAAGAATGATAAAATGACATTACCAACCTAGGGAGGCTTATTTCCACTTCCTCTTCTTGCATCTCAGAGAACCACTGCAGGATTTGATGAGCAGTAATTAGCTTTTCCATTTCTTCTATGTTCACATCTTCTGCAGGAAGTATGATAATTAAACTGAACTCATCACCTTTGTAAGGTAATTCTAAAACCTGGTAGTTCATGGAGGACTCAGAAAAATAACCTGGAACAGAGAAAATAAAATATTAATATACTTGGCAATTCCCAAAATAGTGCTTTAGAGTGTGATTTTGTTCATATTACCATATTTTGTTCTCAGAAGAGTCTTCATCATCGGAATTTCGACTGCTGCACCATATTTCTGAGTGAAATTCATCAGGCTTGTGTCTTCTTTTCTAAATTTCTGTTTCCAATCCCCCTTGAAATAAATAGCATTCACCAAAACAAGCCGAGTCAGAGGGCCAAATTCTTCCCCTGAAAATATGTCTTTAATTTTTCCTGTGAAAGGAATAGAGGAAGAGGTGGGAAGAAATATGCAATAGTTATTCAAAGGAACTGCTTGAAATAGAATTAAAACAAAAATTCATTTTGCTAATCAATTAAAAACAGGGTGCTTTATCATTTAAACTTGGCAATTTTGACAACAAAGGGGGGCTTTATTAAATATTTCACTTAGAAACAGGTACAAACAGGATTTCACTAGGAAACAGGAGGTACAGGATTGTCTTAGGCAAATTTGGACAGACCTAGTAATGGCCTCTCTTTAGTGAGATTATTTGTGTAAATTGTTTTTCAGACAGGAAGAACAAAACCTAAGTATCTCTTCCTGCATATTTGTTGGTCATTTTTAAACTTTATTTCAAGGTTCTTCAGCAGGTCAATCAGAATTAATACATTAATGGTTCACTCAAATTCTCCACTCTTGCAACTGCAGCCACTGACCATTGGGAGAAGACAAGAATAAGGTTGCTAGTATGATTTTCCTCTTTTAAAAAACCAGTCTCCTGGACTTCCCTGATGGTGCAGTGGTTAAGAATCTGCCTGCCAATGCAGGGGATGTGAGTTTGATCCCTGGTCCGGGAAGATCCCACATGCCGCGGAGCAACTAAGCCCGTGCGCCACAACTACTGAGCCTGCACTCTAGAGCCCGCCAGCCACAACTCCTGAGCCCGCGTACCATGACTACTGAAGCCTGAGCGCCTAGAGCCGGTTCCCCCACAACAAGAGAAGCCACTGCAATGAGAAGCCCACACACCGCAAGGAAGAGTAGCCCCCGCTCGCCGCAACTAGGGAAAGCCCACGCATAGCAACGAAGACCCAATGCAGCCAAAAATAACTTAATTAATTAATTTAAAATAAATAAAAATAAAAAACCAGTCTCCTATTTCTATGTCCAATGAGTATTTCCAAGCTGTGAGTCAACAGCATGATTAGGTGCCATGGAGCTGTCTAGGGATGCGTATCATTGTGTATCCCAATAATAGGACTTTCCTGTGAACACTGCTTGCAGCACCCATCTCATATTTTCAACTTATGCTTCCCCATAGAAGGCTCCCCATGAAAAATATAGTGGCGTCTTACACATCACAGCTTTTTGCAACAGAACGAATGAACAAAGAAACAAGCTACTATTAATTGAGGACCTGATATATGCTGTTCACTTCACATACATTTTTTTTAACCTTCCAATAATCCTGAAATGTTTCAATAGTATCCTCATTTTATATGGAGCATAGTTTAGAACCTGCAGAATTTGAACTCACATCTGTATGAGTTTCATCTTGTGTTCTACTATGTCACTCAGTAGCACCTTTGGAATTTTTGCCAGCTTACACTTAAAGTTTAGATTACAACTTTATGACAGAACTATCAATATTTATTATGAAACATTAACACATCCAACTAACATGAGTTAATTATTTACAGTATATGTGGGAAAGAAGGCATCTGAGATGGACAGATCTAAGTTTTACCTGGCCAAAGATATTATTCCTGCTGCCATACTTAAAAATCCTATACTTAAACAAAAATTATTATTAAAATTCTTCCATCAAGAATTCTACAAATAGGTGTCTCTCTCAAACAAAAAATAATAATCTGTATACCTTTCAAAGCAGCTTACAATTTCTCTCTGTTTTACAATTTAGTATTAATTTGAATAACAGGAGAGCATAATCGGAGATTTGATCCCTCTGAACCATAATTTAATAGGAAAATATTCAACCATTCTTTGCTTTAGGATATTAAAAACCATGAATACAATGGCAAATAATGACTTTATGAAAATAGGAAACTTTACCATCTGTTTTGCTTTCTACCCAGGTACTTATTGTCTCTGCACAAGCTTTTGCATTCTGAAAATCCACCAGTTTTATGGCACTCTGAAAAAATTCCTTGTTGCCATGGAGATACTGTTCTTTCACAGTGAATCCTTCTTGAAGGTAGAGGGCATTGGCAAGATTAAATGTAAATTCTTGTTTTTTCTCTGAGATGGCAGAGAAAAATGACTTCAGCACAGAAAATTCTTCTCCTAAAAAATAATTATAATGTATACTGACATATTGAACAACATAAGAACAACAGCTTCTCATCTTTGCTTCTAAACGCTCTGATTCATATCACCAGTTTTTGCACCCTTAGGTATAACTAACGATCCTTTATAAGTTAGTATAAATATTTTAAGCATTTATCTCCTGTGGAATATGCATTTTGTAGAGAAATCAGCTCTCATACAGGAAACAAAAATGTCCATGTAAATTTGAAGTTTGTCAAAAACAAGAATATGCATTTAAACAGGCTGAAGGAAACTCCCTCTTTATAATCAAATTTAGCTCATTCTTAGTTGTTGGAAAGGTATCCTTAGAATCTCATTCTTTTCATAACATGCAATATTTATGAAAGAGGAATACTAATGAATGCTGATGGGGGCTAAGACAGTGATGAGCAATCCTTTTCACTACTACTTTTATTTCAGCTTAAGAAAGAATTGCTCTCTTATGAGCAACTGTGCCTGTCCAAGTTTTGAAATTTATGAGGTACCCCTATAATTATCTCTGGAGATGCATAAGAATCAAAATTACCTATTTCTTCAGGTTCATGAATGTATATACTTTGGCTGTCTTTGTGAACAATAAAAATCTTTAACCATTCCAAATATAACCACTAGCCAAAAGAGTCTGTCAGAGTCAGCTACTAATCACTGTTGGCCCATTACTTATTTATCACTGGGTCGTTCTGACCACCATGTTTTCAGGAAGCTGTATGTGCTGTGAGAGAATTCAGCTCTGATCGTTACTCAGTGGCTTCCTATTTATTACCAGAGGGCACCAATATTTTTCATTCCTTTCTGGCTTAATTCTGGAACTCAACTGTTGAATCTGGGAACTGTATTTCAAATCCAAGGTTCCTTCAGAGCCTTTGTTTATTTTGAGTTAAATACTGAAAATATCGCTTTCATAACTTAAAAGTTGATTGCATGCCATTAATCTCTATTGAAGAAAACACAAATGGTTTATCATTGGGAGATGTCCATTGAATAAAGAGGGAAAATAAAGACTGAGAGGAACTTGCTATGAGGTGTCTATTGGAAATAAGGTGTGTAAGTGTGTGTGTAAACCTTTTGTCAGAGAGCTAGCAGTCCACAGGGCATTTTTGTGCAAATAAGAACTCATGCCCTCACTGAGTGGTGGTGGTAGGCTGCATGCTCATACCTTGTCCAGCTGAGTGGAGACTACATTTCAGTCCCCACTTGCCTCTTTGTCCTTGTGCTCTTGTGCAGATACAACCTACATAACCATAGAGCAGGCTTGGAAGGTATATTGCATCATATTTCAAACTCCATGATTCTCTATTTGTGGCGATATAGACACAGACATAAACAATTTTAGTTACAAAAACTTACGTCCGTATGATTGGATATGAAGAATATCAATAATTCTTTACAACCCTGGAATTCCTTACATAAGGAAGAATGTTAATCTATTTTACTTGTTTATACAATGATTTCAGATGCAATCATTTCTTGCTATTGGAAGCTGAGAGAATATCTCAACAGCTGAGAGCCTACAAAGAAGACTTTCTGAGGGAAGGCATAGAGCTTCTCCAAAAGAATTAAGTAAGGTCAGAAATAAAGTGGCAGAATTTGAAACCAATTTTCAGAAGTTTGTAATTTATGAACATCTTTATAGGAATGGGGAAAAAAGGAGAGGGGGAGAAAAAAATAGTTCCAACTCATTTGTCAGAGCAAATAAATTTATGTCATGTACTTAAGGTCTAAGACTGTTTGACAAACAGTCAGCTGCCCTTTGATAAATCACTGGACTCAGAAGTCAATGAAAAAATGTCACCAGTAGCACAAGTTTGGAGAATATAAAGTTATCTGCCTTATACATTTGATTTAATTTACAGATTAATAGTTTCTTTTAGCACAGATCAAAAAGAATACATATCCATGGCTCCTAGTAAGCAATGAGAATAAGTTTATTTCATTTCCTAAAATAGAGCCATGGAAAACCTACCAGTCATGGAGTGAATGTGACTTTTGGTTTGGTTGTACCAGACCTCCAAAAAAGTGTTCTAAAATTTAGTACATGTTTACTTCTCCTGCTGTTAAAAGCCCAAAGACCAACCATGTGTACAATGTGAGAGATCCAAAGATGAAAACAAAGGCAGTCACAGAATTATAGATTATTTTAGCTGAAAGGTCCAGAGAAATCATCTAATCCAAACTCTTCTTTTTATAATGAGGAATCCAAAATCCAGAGAGAAAAAAAAATTAAATTAAATAAATAAATAAAATCCAGAGAGATAAGATAACTTGAAAGGTGCCCAATTTCAGTATGCTTAACTGAGACAGGAGTTCATGCTCTTCTCTTTCTATAACCCTCTTGGAATAAAGAAGCACCTTTAAGTTAGTCTTCGATTAATAAGCAGCATCATTAGAGGCAAAGCAAAATGGAGTATTATCAGATGCTCAGTAAACTGGAGAAGGTAAATTCTGAGCCGACGCTTTGGCAATGGGGAAAGAAGGATAAGTGAGGATACTGAGAGCTCCAGTGGGGGTAGGGTGCTAGGAGTTGTATGCCCATCTGAAGAATAAGCAGTTTAGATGTGAAACACGTTGGTAGCTGGAAAAGTAAAATATAGCCTGACTGAACAGATAGCACCGTTTGACAATCAGAGGGAATTGAAGGCAGGGCCAGGACCAAGATGGGTCAATGAGACACTCATTTTGGCATAAAATTTAAGGAGTTGCCAACAAATTCAGTAATCAAGATAAATAATATTTTACTGCAATATATTTTTAAATCAATATTAACACAAAGAAATCCATGATGAATAAAATATAAAAATTTTAAATAAATAAAGACAGGCTCATTGTTACTGATTTTTCTTTTTGTCTTGGGTTCCAATATGGCTCTGCTAGGCACTACCTTCTAATCTGTCATACCCTTTGTTCTACCCTTAACACCATTTTGCTTTTCTTTCTTTTCATCTTCCTGCACTTTTTCTCTCTGTTCCCTTCCTTAACTCTGTCTTCTTTTTCTTTATTTCTTAATTTTCCCTTCCTTTTTTTATTTTCCAGAGTTTAATATTTCTATTTTCTCCCTTTTTGGTTGGTCTTCTTTTCTTTTTTGTACTTATCCTCCATCTGTGCTTCTTTCTCCCTCCCTTAACGAAGTATAATAGAAAGCAAGTTTGGTAGATTTTGTTACGTGTGTTAAAAGGTTAATGTTTAATTGTCCATATATACTCTTTCAAAGAAAATATTAAAATGTTCATTATTGCTCTTGTGACCTATAACCCTCAGGGAATCATTTTTAGAATTAGTTCTGGGAAAGTTACTCAACCTTTCTCTGACTTGGTATCCTCACCCGTAGAGCAGGGTTATGTCTGACTCACAGAGTAATTGTGAGGATTAAATGAGATAAGCACATAAAACAGTGACTGGTACACTAGATATATATGTTTGATAATGTCATCATTATTATTACTATGATTATTTTTATATTAACAATCCAGAGTTGTTAAGACTCCCATGTTCCTCTATAAGATGGATTCATTTAAAGTAATTTAAATTTCGGAGGCTCTAATTTTGCTAGTTGATCATGGAATCAACTTTACATATCTTCATAAATGCTCTATTACTTTCCAAAGCAGTATCATGTGATATAAATGTTTCCGGGACTGTGTAGTGGGATTTGCTGAAATTAATACAGACAATGAAGACTAGATCTGCAACACAGTGGCTTCATTTTACATTATCTACAAAGGAAAACTCTTGCAATTAACTTCACTATCACCAACTTCTTTTCTACATAAAATTGCCTTTATTTAAAACGAAGCAACTAAAACCTTGTAAATAGTTTATTCAGAAAAACAATTTCCTAAGAATAACTACTCTGTGCTAAGGCAAACATACTGCAATTGGTTATAGTTAGTCACTAAATGTCCAAATCAAAAATCTGGAAGTCACCTCTGATGTTTAAGACACAGTATCTGACAGTGATATAAACATTTTAAACTAAAATGGAAATTGGAAGCACAGGATAACCAGGGAGATGGAAAACTACCCCCTGAAATGGGATACCAGCACTAAAACATCAACACAGTATCTCAGATAGGCCTTTGGGACACTAGAAAACAACTACTCACATGCAATGGGTTATAGAAATGCTTCTTTTTTAAAATTTTCTTTAAAAACTATTAAATAAGCTTTTAAAAAATATAAATGAATGCTTTTTCTTGGTCTCACTTAAGTGAAAAGGTTAAATTCTAATTAAAAACTAATCTTTAAAAGCTTACACAATAATAAGAGATGCACACAAAGATTTCTGGGTGAGGGTACTCACTGAAGCATTTTTATAAGAGAAGTATTGGATATTACCTAATGAAGAAGGGTTAGGTGAGTACGCAATAATGTTTTCATCAGAGGCAAAAAGACACAGCAACTAAAAACTACATTCTGAAGCAGTTGCATGATATGAAAAAATGATCAGGACACAGTAAGTGCTAGTAGAAGAATATGTGTATACAAATATATGGGTGTATATCTACTCATACACATACACACGTGCACATACAACATAATCTCACTTAAAACTGGCTAAAACAGGCTAGAATAAAATATACAGACATAGTCACAATTTTTATGTGTATAGAATTAATTTTTTAAATTATTTTGGTAATATTTTCATTAAGAAACAATTATAATTATTTACATTGACAATTATTTGCATTTAAAATTCTCCATTTTATTATAATTTCATACTTTTCATAACTTTTTATATTTATTAAAGTTCTATGACCCTGAGCTTCTCTGATAGTTTAAAAATAAATTTGGCCAGATCTTATCCGGTATAAATAATCATATGTAAGAATCTCACCAGTTGAGGTCTCTTGAAATTTTAAACTTTGTCTTATCTGCTGTTGTGTTATTCCTTTTGCTCCCAGTTGTACCATTCCAAGGGCCAGAGTTGTTCCAAAAGGGGAAATTATGATGTTGTTCTTATGAGATAAACAAACAGCTTGATAAAGATCCACTGCAAATTCGGTGTTTCTTTGAGCCAAGGGGCTTGAGGCTTGACTTCCAGAAAAAGTCAACAGGAGACTCCACAACAAGATCTTATCCATTTTGACCTCTCTGCATTGGTTAATTCAAAATTTGTTAGTTTTCAAAATAATCAGAGTTTACCATAGTAAGCTCAATAGAAAGATTTCTATCTATTAGAAGTTTCTGTCTTATTTGAACAAACTACCACAAGAAGATTCTAATGTCAATTTTCAGACTAAGCATCTTCTATTAGGAGAAATAGACCATGTGCTAATAGCATTTTTAATATGCATTCAGGAAGCAGTACAGATGTACTGCAGCTTTTTTAAATTAAAGGAGAAATTATAATGCTGGAATATTATCAATAGCAATACTATCTCTGAATAGCTATGTGATAGTTTTTTGCATCTTTTCCATGGTTTTAAATGGGATACTTGCAGCTCTGATATCAAGGGAAATTTCTGTTCAGACTACTCTAAAATAGTTTAAAGAACAAAAGGAGAAATGGAATAAAAACCTAACACACTCCAGTGTGGTTTTGAACCTATAATATTAGGAAATTCAAGTATTCTAAATCAGTTGAGTAATCTGGCTAACTTCTTACAGCAACAAGTCTCACACTTTACGGAACGGTGAAATAACCTCCAAACCCACCTCGTACTTTTCCAAAGAGAGGTTTTAAAAACTCAGAAAAAAATTATAAAGAAACAAAATTACAATCAAATATAAATGGTACAATAACAAGAAATGAAGAAAGCAATTTTTTTAAAATCAAAGAATAATTTGACAAATAAATTAACAAATATAAGAAAACTGCAACTGAAAACTGTAACCAATTCACAACACTAATGACACCGTATTAAACTGCTCTCCACTAAAACTCCAGGAAATTCAACCATCTCATTACATCTGGAGCAGAATGAGTTTTACAATATTACTGCAGACTTAGTAAAATACTGACTCTGAAGTATTTTAAATTTTAAGTACTTTAAATGAATAAATTTAAAATAAAATTTCAAAGTATTTAAAATTTTAGTAACACTAGTTTTATCTTACAAATAATCCATTTTAGTCACTTTCAATAACTCCTACTAGTTTAATAGGTTACTAGGAAGTAACCCTTTATTGGACGTAAATATGAAAACCTTCGGAATAATGTTTTGTTAGCCTTAAAGAAATGAAGAACTATAGTTCTAGTGTGTTTTGCAGATTATTAGGAAGGCTTCCATGACCCCTAAATGGCTAAGAATCACTATTATACATAAAGATTACTAATAGTCAATTATTTTCCAAAACTAAGTTGTAGAGTCATTATCTAGATATTTCCATTTCTTTTCTAATATGTGTAGTTAAACTTAGATATACAATTTACAAAGGAAAAAAACTCAAAACACAATCCAAAGCAATTGTTAGAAAATAATGTGTTGATAAACTGATAATATAAATATATGTTATCAAGCAAATGTCTTATTGAAGATTAAATTAGCACATAAGGTTGTGAGTGGTAGTGCAACAATAGTAAAAGTGAAAGTGTAAAAGATGTTTTACGTGCAAAATAAATTTCTGAGTATCATTTTCTAATATATTCAGTATCTCAGAAGATTTCTGACCAAAATATCAGTTTGTAGATACATAAATAGTCAAAATGTTATCAAAAATTTTAAGTCAGCAAGTGGCAATTCATTTGGCCCATTTTTAAGTACTTGGTTTATATTAGAATAATAAGCAATATTATGAAGGATGTAATTTTTCCCTAGTAGTAGAATCTGGGAGTTGCCTTATCATTATTAACAGTCTTAATAATCAAAATGTATATTCTTTGAGCATCCATTTCTCCCAGGAAATTTTTAGGCCCTTAATAAACTACAAGCTCATGCAAAAAAATTGTTTTAAAAATTCACTTACCTCATTGGGTTTGGGATTGTGTCTCATCAGAAAACACAAAGCACTGGTGGACTAAGCAACCTGATGAATAGTCTTATAAGAATTTGGCCTTCAAATTTGTAGTGAAAATTTAATCTTTTAAGGAAAATAAAAGTAATGTGTTAATTTGATACATTTAAATAATACTTGCACCAGAGTGAATTGAAATGCCATTCCCTTACTCTATTAAACACTCATGGTCAATGTTGTTGCATACATACTTCATTCAAACACTATTTAATTTCAAGGTACTTACCCGAAATTGGCTTCTGATTACTCACTGTAATGTTACAGCTAAAATGTGCCTGCTGGGAAACACTAGTACATGGAGCACCTGATCAGTCAAGGCCAACTCTACTTATCTTGAACACTGCTCGATTAATTCCTCTAAAACCAAAGCAGGTGTTCACATTTGTACAGAAGAACTAACATGACCAGGTTAATGATCAATTATGAAATATGCAAGAATTGAGGGAGAAAACAATAGAATTTTTTAAAATAATTAAGTTTGAATTAATCTCATCCATTATTTCACTTCTTTTTTAAGTAGAAACAATGTGGAAGAATGTGCTAGTGGTTGTAAATCTGCTAGTAATTAGTTCTTGTTTTTTACAGAACTCCCGTATCAGATTACCAATGTATTCCATCATAAATATTTCAAAATGCCTATAAGAAAAAGAATAAAGTTAAATCAAGTCCAAACTGCAGAGACAAATTACTGCTGCGTTTATAGAGTTCTCAACAATTCATCAAATTATACAATAGTCAGAGGAGTTTCCTGGGGATACAAGGCCCATTTGAATCCTTAGGAAACAGAGAGAATATTGAAGAAATATAGTCTTTATGTTGAGCAAAAACACCAGATTAAGATTATTGTCTTACCAAATTATCAGGATAATATCAAGATATTATTAAATATGAATAATTTGATAATAAACATTGGTGTTACTTGTATATGCTTTTAAAATTCTACATGATTTTCTCTACAAACAGGTTATTAATAAAAAATGGATGTACAATTGAATGGGTTTTGATCTCATTTTTCTAGTTCAAATCAATCACCTCAGGGACTTCCCTAGTGATGCAGTGGTTAAGAATCTGCCTGCCAATGCAGGGGACATGGGTTCGAGCCCTGGTCCAGGAAGATCCCATATGCTGTGGAGCAACTAAGCCCGTGCGTCACAACTACTGAGCCTGCGCTCTAGAGCCTGCAAGCCACAACTACTGAGCCCGCGTGCCACAACAACTGAGGCCTGCACATCTAGAGCCCGTGCTCCGCAACAAGAGAAGCCACTGCAATGAGAAGCCCAACACAGCCAAAAATAAATAAATTTTAAAAAAAATACTATAAAAAAAATCACCTCAATGACAATCAGATATTAAACACATTGTGTTATTCATCAGAGGCCTCTGAGAAGAGAAGGGGAAATTTTGGACCAGTTTCAATTAAACAAATATTCACTATTTTTTTTTTTTTTTTTTTTTTTTTTGCGGTACGCGGGCCTCTCACTGCTGTGGCCTCTTGCGTTGCGGAGCACAGGCTCCGGACGCGCAGGCTCAGCGGCCATGGCTCACGGGCCCAGCCGCTCCGCGGCATGTGGGTTCTTCCCGGACCAGGGCACGAACCCATGTCCCCTGCATCGGCAGGCGGACTCTCAACCACTGCACCACCAGAGAAGCCCCAAATATTCACTATTGATCACTAAATGTAATATTATTTCTGATAAATTTATGAGAAAGAAATAAAATTAATGTAGATACCTTTAAAAAAATTCATTAAAAAAAAAAACTTTTGCAAGGACCCTGTTAACCTCTTTCAGTGTCCTAACAGGGCTATAGCTCAGGCCACAGAAGGCTGATGACAGTCATAGGCCATAATCTCTTAATTTACTAAAATTCTTAATTTCCCATCTAGGTATCTCTAAATGTTTTCTAAATCTTGGGTTATATTCTAGTATTACTTACTCTAACATAAGCAAACTCTATTCCAGCTTCAACTTAACGCTGTTGGAGATAACTTTCCAAACACAGAATTATACAACACGAGAACATTATCATTCCTCTTGTTCTACTCGGCAATTCATAAATAAGTCTGAATGCCTAAGACTATCATTCAATCAACGCTCTTCTACCCATGCAGTGACACCAGCAAATATCCATCACAAGTACCCTTGGCTTCCAAATTATTATGTCTGTACATTACTCAGATCATAATATGACTTACCCAGGGAAAGGCCATTACTTTTCCTTCCAATGACAGAGACGGACACTCTGTCTTAGTAAGATCACTTAATGAAGTTGTTCGGTAAGAACCTCACGTTACAGCAGTTCCAGCAGAATGTATACTTTCCTGTCTCTTGGGTAGTAAAAAGCAATGGCCATGAATTTCTCCTCCCTGGTTTAAGCTCTTTAAACTGACAGTAAAGATACCATGATTGTCCATAAAATATTGCTGCAAACCTTTCAAATATTTTCACAAATCTGTTTTCTCTATAACTCTATTTGCTCCTAGATCATCAAGAAAAAAAAACATTCATTAGTGAGAGCCAAAGCATCCTGCTATAAATTTGAGCACCATCACTACCGCCACTGTAAAAAATACACTTGAATGTGTATAAAAATAATAGCAAGGGGTTGCAGCTTCAATCTCATTATCTTTCTTAGTGTTTTATAGTTTTTTTTAAAGTAAAAATGTATTTAATTCCAAACTAAAAACATATAAGCAAGCGCTCTCATTTGTAAAGGACATAGAAGTTAATTCTTCCATCTGAGTATGGATTAATTTCAGGCATTCTTTCCTTTGTCAGTTTGCTCTATATATTTTGAGTGATAAGAGGAAAATGTTCTGTAAAGAGAACAGGCTAAATTAGATTTAGTGTAAGTCTACACAATACAAACAAAGTAGCCTATTGAAAATTATAGCACATGCTATTTTGCCATTTTTCCACTGCAGAAAAATGGCTCTTAAATAACTGAACCTAAATGTTAATTCCAGAAACAGCTTATAAAGTCTTCTGTTCTAGTAACATTTGATAGGTGAGACCCTGCTACCTGCCTGGCACAATTAGATGCTGTAAGATATAAAAGAGTTAAGACATAATAACTAAATGTCTTTTTATTTTTTCCTTTTGTGAGTGTTTTTGTTCCACATTATTAGAAACAGTAACATTAAAAGAGACTTTCATACCCTTAAAAGTTCTATTCTCATTAAATATAGAGAATAGACAGCTCTATTAATGAGCTGTCTGACACAGCTCCTCTTAATTCCTTTTGCAAAGCAGGCCCTGAAGTTAACTAAGGATGAATTAGGGTCACACGCAGCACAGTGCTATGCACATGTAGTAGGCCACAGAGAGAAGTTCTGTCTACATGAACCAAGCTATTTCAGAACAATCACTTCAAACAGAGTCATCTCCAGGGCTAAAAAAATATAAAATAGGTCTAGTAGAAGAATTTCCAAATTATAACAGAAAAACTAGAGGGCTCATTCAATCTTTACTTTAAAACCATTGCATTTTATGTGCCTTCACTCCAGAAAGCTGATGGCAGGAGAAGTGTATTCTATTCATATGTGTATGCTTGGTGTCTAAAACAGTCCCTTGCATATGCCTTCCATAACTGGTGGGAGAGATGGATGGATGGATGCAGAAAAGGGCCTTCACGAAGTATTTGGTAACCATATTACATCTCTTTAACATCTTAATATTCCTTTAAATTTCTGGAAATAAGGCTCAAATTTCACTCCACTCTACTGTCACCAATCTATGATTCATAGATCATATGCTCTAAGTTTGAAATGATGTATTGTCCAACCAAACCTGCCAACTAATCCAAGAATTCTCTTCAATATCCCTGTGAGAGTTATTCAGCCTCTGCTTTGACATCTCAAGGAACCCTTTGGATTAAGGCAAAATTTTTCATTTTTTAAAAATAATTTACTTTAAATACCTTAAAGTTACAGAAGAGTTGCTGATATAATACAAAGAACTACCATCTCCGTCTCTCCTTCTCTCTGTTTCTTCAGTTGTTAACATTTCACCACATATGTGTGCTCTATCTATATACCTATCTCTCTTTCCCTCCCTCTCTCTCTTTTTCCTTTCATATATATATATATATATATATATATAGTGTGTGTGTGTAGATAAATATATGTGGTGTGTTTGTTGTGTACATAAATATATATAAACATTATAATTAGTATTTTTTGAATCATTTGAGAGCAAGATGCAATCACAATTTTCAATCACTCCTAAACATTTCATTCTATCTATCTATCTATCTAAAATCATGAGTTCACACTGTTATGTGTAATCCCAATCCCAAATCTCAGGGTTGTTTCTAGTGTTCTCCCTTTCAAATTTTATAAATACCTTCTATAACAGTGAGATACTCGGCTCTCATTATCCTCTATATATTTACTAATTTATTCATTTATTTACTCAATATTTATTTGTACAATATGACCAATCTCCCAACTATGCTGGTCATCTCCACTCACCCCTCTGCCTTCCCACCCACTAATTCCCTCTCCCATGGACCCCTCCCATACTCTTGGGTCCAGTAAGCTTATTTCTGCTGGGTCTTCTCTCAGCTCCTCCTATTTCCTTCCCTAGCTGTACAGTGGGCCTGCTGCCAACAATTCTGTACCAAGATGAGAAGTGAAGATGGGAAGGAAAGGGAAAATAAGAAACCTTTTCAAGTTCAACAGGGATTAGGAAGAAATTCTAGAATCTGCCTTCTTAGCATTGTGCCTGTCAGTTCTACTCTCTTTCTTCCCTGCAGCTTTGAAATATTTGAGGATAGTTTGTATCTCTGCAGCTTTGAAATATTTGAGGATAGTTTGTATCTCTGCAGCTTTGAAATATTTGAGGATAGTTTGTATCTCCCATGAATTCTCTTTCATAAGCCAGACCTCCCCATTTCTTTATTTGTTCCTCTAGAATATGGTTTCCAGGACCATTACTGCTCTGACAACATTCTCCAACATTTGTTGAGATTGATTCTTCCAAATATCTTTCTCCTACATTTTTCCCATATGTGACTGTCATTCAATGAGAAGGAGAAGGATATTCATAGAACTCACAACGTCTGACTCAGGATTCACTTAAATGTAGATGAAATAGGCAACTGTCTTCTGAAAATCTTTCTTCTGCCACCCTCTCTACCAAGCTAAATCATTTGCTCCACCGATGCTGAAAATTCTACAGTTAGAGTTCATTCCACTGACTTTATACTAATAAGAAATGTGTGAACAGAATAGTGAAAGGTGAAAACCATGGCCTTTGGAGTAAAACAGATCTAGGCTCCAATCCCAACTCTGCCATCAATAATTGGGCACTCTCCTAATGTATGCAAATCTCAGCTTTTAACCTTAAAATAGATATATCTTATACAATTATTGTGAGGTTTAAATATGATAAACTTTTACAGTAACTGGACAGAGTAGACCATAGACCCTTACATATTGTCAATTTCTTTACTTGCGTGTGTTACTGCAAAATTCTTAAAAAACATATTTTTAAAGGAGTCTTTAAAATACAAAAAAAACTAAAGTTATGTGAATGAATTGATTAATTATTCCTACAGGACACATTAGCTAATGTTTTATAAGAATACTGGTTGCCTAGTAGATAATATTTATAAAGAAAAATGGATCCAAAAAGTGATGTGTTTCAGAACGAAACAGTCCCTACTTGACCTTACACAGAAAATGAAGCTTTTACACAGCCCCAGTCCCCTATTTTTCCCCCAAGGCTGTTCCCTCTTTGGTGTGCCATGCCTCTCAATTTTAGAGTATAGTATAACAAAGTATAGAAGTAGAACATATGCAGTAATTTCTCAAGAAGTACACAGAAGGATAAAGAAAAGTCATTAAAAATTAATAGTAATAGCTGCTATTGACAAGGTTTAATTGCATTATCAGAATCGTTTTTTAAAAACCTAGAAAGTGCATGTAAGTCTGAATGCTTTTCTAAGTCAAGTTTATATAGATATTCACTGTGTCAGTACATATTTAATTTCAATGCAAATTGATTTTACAATGAAAACTGACCAAAAATATTTATCTATAGGAGCAACAAGAAGTGTGACTGGTTAGAACACTTTGTCCTGGAGTTGTACATTTTTTATATAAAAACACTTGAGAATAGATAATACCAATTGCTATTGCCCCCCTCTTTAGTCATATTTTTCTATTTAAAATGCAGAGAAAGTGAAAGGTGATGGATAAAAGCAGCACTAAAACATTGTTTCAAAATGAAGCTTCCTGAAGTTCAAATATAAAGTAAAAGAAAGGAACAATATTTTTGATTCCATTTTTTTTGCATTTTATATACATACTTTATGTGACCATGAAATATTTATTTTTCTTTCAATTATAATGGCTTCTTATTCCTTTTAATCTTTACGTCACTACTTGTGTCTTGACATAATTGCCTGGCTCTTCGTTCACGATCCAGAATTTCTTTGGGGAATAGGCTTTTCTCATCAAATACTGCTTTCAGTGCTACAAAATGATGAAGAAAATGACATATAAATTATACTTGGCAAAAGATCCAATTAAATGAAATAGTGGGGAGAAATGTTCAAATTTCACTTCTCAAAATGTGGATGTTCTTAAAACCAAGAGTGCTCTGGGAAAATTTCCTCTTAAGCTTCTGCTCTTCCTTTTAGTTCAATTTAAATTTAAAAGTTAAATTTTAACAGAGTTTGTCCTAGTAATGTATTTATAACATGATAGAGATCTACCATTTCACAGGAGAAGTCTAAAGAAGTTTGTGTTTTCCATTTTTGTTTTTTAATCTACCTAACAGCTCTCAAGGACTCATAATAAGCAAAGAACAAATTATTCTGTATTGAAATAAGACAATTAAAAGCATCAAAACACAGTTTGACTGTCTGCATGACTAAACAAGTACATCTGCAATCACATCCTTATAAGATAGTTTGACCTGCAGGGATCTGTGTCTTCAGAAGAAAAAGAGACAAATTATCCCCATGAATGGTTATATGTGCATCAGTGAGAAGTGGAATGAAACTGTGCCATGAATTCAAAAACATAATTTTGGCCTTTTGCTAAATTTTGTCATTTCAACAAATGTTTATTGAAAATATATTACGTACTGTGCTCAGGCATAATGGGGCACAAACATGACTAAGTCACAGGCTTCCTTCCAACTGGTAGAAGGTGGGAGCAGTAGCCTAATAACCAAAATGTCATCTATAATATGATACCATTCTAAGAGAATATGAGCAATGTAAATTATGTGGTTAAACATATAAAGAGCTTATAACAATACGCAGAGATCAGAGAAAGAGCTTGAAGAATCAGATGCTATTTGAGATAGATCTTGAAGCCCAGAGAGGATTTTCACTGATAATGAGGACTATGGAGATGAGGAAGGGTTTGCAAGGGGGAAAAGAAATGTCAACTAGAAGGAACAAAATAAATACAAGTATGGAGAAACAGAGCTACTCTTCAGGTAACTCTGAGTAATTCAGCACAATTTAACATAAAGGAGAGGAAAGTAGAATGAGATTGGAGCTGGACTGAGGGGCACTTTAAATACCAAGCCAAGAATTATGAAACAAAGAAACTACATGAACAATGAATAACCTCACAGTGTAGAGGCATCTTTATATATTCGGATTAAAAAACAACAACAAAACTCTCCACTTCTCGTACAAACATAACTATAAAAGTCAATATCTTGCCCCCTTTGCTCTTGGATATTATACAAGAAAAACCAAGAAAATGAGGGGAAGTAACTCTGAGAATAAATTCCACGTTCAGCAAAACCCAAAGGTAGATGTAACCTGCAGCCTACATAACATGAAGAAGGGTAGCCAAACAGCTGAGCTTGGGCAGAAGTTACACAAGATAAATCAATCCGCATGGAGAGTATAAAAAGGCCAGCAGCAGCTGCAGCATTTCAGAAAGTGCTGGCAAAGAGATGCTCACTAAAGATGAGGGGCTCACCCTGCGGTCCAAATGCTGTAACTTTCTTTTCTATCTATGGATGCTACACGGGGTGAAGAAGGCTGGGAGCAAAAGCTCTCCCCAACCTCATTTGGTTCAGCGAAACATATGAGGCAGGACTATATAAAGAAGCACACCCACGAGCCATCTTCTGCTAAAAGCAGTCCGCCTCTGTAGGTTGTAAAACTTGAAGGCCACACTGATCCCATGTCCCAGGCTCTCACCCAGGGACCTGCTACAAATTTCAAGTCTAAGAAAACTAAACTCATTAAAGATAATTGATTAAAAGCGTAAATTGTAAAAACTGGCATAGCATAGACATAAATGTGTTACAAGCAAAATTAAAAACTAAACAAAATGAAGTTTAAAAAGAGCAGCAAAACTAATCAATACATAGATCGCCACCAGGAACGTGTTGCCATTGGACAAATACTGTTACTAAGCATTTTGCCACAAATTAAATTTGAAAATTTGAAAACACTCCTGTCTCTATGAAAGAAGATCACAGAGCAGAAGTCCCTTCATCTCAGGGATGAGATGAAGACACAACGGAAAGTGATGAAATGTCAGCTGGCAGAACTCAGGAAAAGAAATATCACAAGTGAGAATAGACTGCATGGTAACACAATGGGAAGCGTAGAGTGTATGAGTAAGAAAAACAAATAAGATGAAAATTAAAAACAGAACAAATTAGAAGGAAATGATAGATATTGGGGAAAAAAAGACCCAACAAATACAGAAATGGGCTGAGTCCTTAAGAAAGAAAAATTAAGAAAAATTATAAAGTGCCATGTAATAAAACTTTCCTCAAATAAGAGACAACCTGACATATATAAAAAGGACATACTGTTAATTACCTCTTTAATGGACCTATCTTTAATGGAGTCACATTATACGATGCTGTGGGGTTAGGAATTTGGGGAAACACAGTTCCGCCCATAGCATATATTTTGGAACTTTTAAATGACCAGTGAAGCTGCAGGAGCTTCAGCCATGCTTCTGCATTTTTGGTAACTCAGCTCCAAACACAATCACAGTTTTATTAATGTGTCTTCACTTTTCCAAAATCCTGATCCTTTTATTTCTTGGTAAATTTGGTATTTCTTGGTATAATTTATGTCTTGTATAGCTTAGAGATAGCCAATCTTTGTTACTGGCCTGAGACAATTTTTAAAAATTGTGGCAAAGATGGAGTTTGGCAATATCTCTAGTGGAAAGAAGGAGTTGGAGGCAAAAAGGATATAAATGAAAGACCTAACTTTTCTTGCTCTGGGGAAAAAAAAAGGACATAACTTGTGCCAGGAATAACAGAAGAGTCAAAAACAAGGCATATCCCACTAAAGTTACTAGACTTTAAAGATAAAGGCAGAATCATTTGGTAGCCAAGCAAAATGATCAAGCCACTCAAAAGAAGAGAAATAGGGCTTCCCTGGTGGCGCAGTGGTTGGGAGTCCGCCTGCCGATGCAGGGGACATGGGTTCGTGCCCCGGTCTGGGAGGATCTCACATGCCACGGAGCGGCTGGGCCCATGAGCCATGGCCGCTGAGCCTGCGTGTCCGGAGCCTGTGCTCCGCAACGGAAGAGGCCACAGCAGTGAGAGGCCCGTGTACCGCAAAAAAAAAAAAAAGTAAAAAAGAAGAGAAATATATGTATTGCATTTGATATCTTCATAACAATGATCAATACCAGTAGACAGTAAAGAGAGCAACTCCCACAAGATAAGTAAGGAAAGAACATGTGAGGTACGAATACTATAAACATCCAAACTGCCCATCAAATCTGAAAACTTCCAATAGTTTCAACGTGCAGGGAGTTCATGGACTATTGTTCCCAAGAGTCCTTTTTGAGGAAATTACTACAACATAAACTGAGAAATGACTGAGGAAAAGATTTGGTGGTGAGCACCAAATATATTTTAACGTAGAAGTGAGATTAAAACAACATAAAGTTTAGGATGACAAATTAGAAGGCAAATGCCACATGCCTGACAACATAGAAATGATACAATTAACAAAACTTGGGAAAGTAAGAAAGAAGTTTCATTCGTGATAGATCAGTAACAGCTGAGAGACAAAGGACTTAAACCAACAAGTCAAGTAATAGCCGTATAAGCAAATTTAACAAAACAGAAGCAGAAAGAAAAATCATATTATTGAACAAAATTGTGTGGTGGAAGAGGGGGAGGGGAATGAAGAAACGTGTTCATTTATCATCAGTCAGCATGGATTTAATTGTTACTGCCCTAGAAAAATAAAGGGTGACAACAATTATAATTATATGAATCTATAAGTATAAAGGTACTACCAGAACAAACATATAACACCCACCCACCCACCCCCCTCAAATAAAACAAAGAAAAAAATTACAGGTCCAGTGAAAACGTCAAAAAATATATAAACAGTAAATAGCAGAAAAGAGTATGAGAAATACAAAACCAAACTGTCTAATAAACAACAAATTTAAATGTGCTCAATTTCATGATTTTAAAAAATTGATTTTTTAGTTGGATCAAAGGCAAAAACCCAATTCACGTCTAAAATAAAATGATTCCAAAAATTTGAAATAAAAGGATGGGAAAAGTATACCAGGCAAATCAAAATCAAAAGAAAGCAGGGATCAAAATCTAAAATCATAGATGCATGAAGAAACCCTCAAAGGATACACAGACACTCGCAGTAGTGGTTGCCAGAAACAGGTGATAGTGGGAACTGGACAGATCAGCATCATGGAAGGGAGGTAGACTTCTCACTGAATAATTTTTTATATGTTCTAGTATTTGATCAGTGTGAATATATGTTGTTTTTCATATAAGAAAGTATATGAAAAACAGCATATTCTGTTTTTTAATAAGATAAAAATGCAACCTGGACCTACCTCATAAGCAAAGTTACAAATGAAAACCCTTTCCACTGGCCTAATACCAGTGGTACAAGATAGTGTGGATTTCTGCACATTAGTTGATTCTGTCCTCTGTTGTCTGAAGGTAAGCACGTCAGAATCACAAGGCATTCTGAATGCCTCAGAGCTCTTCTGAGGTCCACTGTGAAAGACAAAATGTTACTTCTGAAATAAACCCTAGCTGCTTTACTGAGATTTGTCTCTCAGCTAGACAAGGAATTTTCATTGTAATTGACTGGGTTTCAGGACAATTAAACCAATAACTAACCGATAGGCCTTTGCAAGTTCTTTGACAGGGATAATCTTTCTGGGATAATTTATTTTTCTGAGTTAAAAAACAAGTGATAAAAAATTCATATACAATTCATATGCAAGGGTAGATACCTGTTTCCTGGGCCCGAAGCTTACAATTTGGGGAGCTTTGTTTAAGAAAATGAACATAAAATTACAAATACAAAATTATTCATAAAAGTGGTTATGTACTTAGAATGAAAAAATAAATCTCAACAAATTACTGGAGTTTTGTAGAGCTGAATCCTTTTCTTCTCAGATCTCTTTCAGGAAAGGCAGCTGAAGTGCTTACCTGGAAATGATTCCTACTTGCAACCTGGCTTCCTCTCTTCACCCAG